TCATGACCTTGGACATGAAGGCAAATATACCAGAAGCTAGGGCTTACTTCTCTAACCAAAAACTTGGTGAGGAGAGAGGCTACAAAGGAAAGAAAACTGGCTTAAAATGTAGCCATTGTGATGCTGGTGGGCACTCAAGAGACTGATGCTGGATTCTTCATCCAGAGTTAAAACCAAAGTTTCCTAGGGATAACAAAGGTGTCTCGAAAGGCTCGTACAACCCTTCTTACAAGGCAAATCATGTTGCCACAACTTCTTCTGATGGAGCACTGAAGTTCACCACTAATCCAGCTGCACTGATCAACGAGTTTGCTATGTTTCTTCACAAGAAACAAGGTCTTGGAGATAGTGAAGGACCACTAAATCAGTGTGACAACAATCAAACTGCACTACTAGGACAGTTTGCTGGCTTCCTGGCTGGAAATGAAGGCGTGGTACAAAGGGACATCCCAGGTATCTTACACTCCTTCTCAACTGCTCTCAACATTGGTAATGTGCATGATTATTGGATTATAGATTCTGGAGCCACTGATCATATGACTAACAAGTCTACAAACTTGCATAAATTTGGAAAGTTTTCTATTCCATCCCAAGTGTCAGTTGCCAATGGAAAAAATGCTATGGTTGTGGGAAAAGGAAAAATACATTTGATCTCAAGTGATGTTGAGTCTGAGGCTCTTTATGTTCCCTCATTCCCTTTTCAACTTTTATATGTTAGCAAGATCACAAACTCATTAAATTGTCTTGCCATTTTCTCTCCCAAAAATGTGATCTTTCAGGATGTAGTCACCAAGAAGACGATTGGTGAAGGATTTTTCTTAAATGGTCTCTATTATCTTTCCAAGCATATTCAAGTTCCCAAGGTTTTTCAAGTCACTTCAAGCTTAGCTCAAGAACAACAACTTTGGCACCAACGTCTAGCACATCCTTCTGAAAAAGTTCTATCCACCTTGTTCCCAAATATGTGCAAAGTTACAAGTCCTTGTGATGTTTGTCATTTTTCTAAGTTTACTAGATTACCATTTACTTCCTCTTTGTCTAGGGCTAGTAACCCTTTTGAAATTGTGCATTCCGATGTTTGGGGACCAACTATAGAGTCTTTTGATGGATACAAATATTTTGTAACTTTTGTGGATGATTTCACAAGGATTACTTGGTTGTATCTTTTGAAATTTAAAAGTGAAGTGATGGAAGTTTTTCAAGATTTTCTTAGACTTGTGGCCACCCAATTTGCTTCAAAAATTCATATTTTACGATCAGATAATGGCACAGAATATATGTCTCATAACATGTCACACTACTTGAGCACGCATGGTATATTACACCAAACAAGCTGTGTTGGAACACCTCAACAAAATGGGGTGGCCGAGAGGAAGAATAGAGATCTACTTGAGAAGACTAGAGCTCTTATGTTTCACATGAATGTGCCTAAGAAGTTTTGGTCTCAAGGAGTCCTTACTGCGGCATATCTCATCAATAGATTGCCTAGTAAAGTGTTAAATTTTAAATCACCTTATGAGGTCTTGAAAAATAGAAAGATCAACTTTTTCCCATTTGAGAGTCTTTGGGTGTACATGCTTTGTTCACATTCAAACTCAAAATCGTGACAAGCTAGACCCAAGGGCTGCCAAATGTGTCTTTCTAGGTTATTCATCTACCCAAAAAGGTTACAAGTGCTATAATTCAACAACTAGAAAAATGGTTGTTTCAAGGGATGTTAAATTTGAAGAACATGTTCCTCACTTCTCACAATCACTGGATTACTCTAGACAGGGGGAGCATTTAATGGACTTATTTCCTTTTCCATATCCAAACGGAGAAGATGCAACATGCACTCCTAGTGATCATGTGCCGAATGATGTTAACCTTCACTCGGTGGAACATCTTGAAGATGAAAACCCTTCCTCATCAGAGATTCACACTGCACCCTCCAGTGATCCTTCCAACCATGATGTTGTTCAAATACCTGTAGTTCAATCTCCTACAGTTCGTCGCAATCCTGCACGAGAGAGGAAACTTCCATCCAAGTTGCATGATTATGTAACCTACACTGCCAGGTATCCCGTGACTGATGTTATTGATTATAGCAAAGTCTCATCTTCTTTTGCTACATTCCTAAGTGCCATTAATGAAGCTCGAGAACCTCAAAGTTTTCAAGAAGCCAATCTTTACAGTGAGTGGAGAAATGCTATGGCAGAGGAGCTTCAAGCCCTCCATGAAAATAACACATGGACTATAGTGAAACTTCCAAAAGGAAAGAAGGCAGTGGGGAGTCGTTGGGTGTACAAAACTAAGTTTCATTCAGATGGCACAATCGAAAGGAATAAGGCTCGCTTGGTTGCTCGAGGTTTTACACAAACCTATGGCGTCGATTATAAAGAGACATTTGATCTGGTGGCAAAAATGAACACTGTTAGAGTATTGTTGTCGGTTGCAATTAACAATGCATGGCCTCTCTTTCAAATGGATGTTAAAAATGCTTTCCTGCATGGTGAACTTGAAGAAGAGGTTTACATGAAGCTACCCCCAGGTCATCCTCAATCAAACAATCCAGAAATGGTGTGCAAACTCCATAAATCCATTTACGGTCTCAAGCAAAGTCCACGTGCATGGTATGCCAAGCTCAGTCATGTTCTGGAAAGGGTTGGTTTTTGTCGAAGTATTGCGGATTCTTCCCTATTTGTTCGTTCCAGCTTAATGGGTAAACTAGTTGTACTCATTTATGTTAATGATCTAATTGTGACAGGTGATAATATGTCAGAGATTAATGCTCTTAAACAGTATCTCAACAACAAGTTTGCTATCAAGGATCTTGGCACTCTCAAATACTTTCTGGGCATCGAGATGACACACTCTCACAAGGGTTTCTTCCTCAACCAACGCAAGTATGTCATGGATCTTCTTCACGAAGCAAAAATGACAGATTGCAAGCTTGCTCGTACTCCCTTGGATAGCAACTTGAAGCTAAAAACTCACGGTGATCCAGTTCCCAATTTAAGTTACTATCAAAGAATGGTTGGCAAACTCATTTATCTGACTATCACACGTCCTGATATATCATATGCTGTCAGCATTGTTAGCCAGTTTATGCACTCTCCAAGCATGGATCATTTGAAGATTGTTCATCGTGTGCTACGTTATCTTAAGGGTTCCATTGGTAGAGGAATTCTTATGCGCAACAATAGTCACACTCAGATCTCAGGCTATACCGATGCTGACTGGGCAGGCAATTCTCTCGATCGCAAGTCTACCACTGGGTTTTGTACGTTTGTGGGAGGCAACCTAGTTACCTGGAAAAGCAAGAAACAAAGTGTTGTTGCACGCTCTAGTGCAGAGGCAGAGTATCGTGCTATGGCGTCCACTGCTTGTGAACTTATTTGGCTCATAAGCCTTCTGTTGACTTTAGGTTTTCCTCATCAACAACCCATGTCCCTACACTGTGATAATCAGGCCGCGATGCACATTGCATCGAATCCTGTATTCCATGAGCGAACTAAACATATTGAAGTTGATTGTCACTACGTCAGAAATCAAGTTCAGTCCAAGGTGATCGACACTCACTGCACGCGCAGTCATGATCAACTTGCGGATATTTTCACAAAAGGATTACCCTCTGCTGATTTTCAACGTCTTTTGTTCAAGCTTGGATCAATTAATCCCTTTGATCCAGCTTGAGGGGGAGTATTGGAAGAAAGCATGGAAGAAGTTCTAGGGCTGCTTTACTTTTCTAGGGCTGCTGCTTTACTTTTCTAGGGCTGCTTTACTTTTCCATGTTTCCTTCCATGTTTTCTGCTTCCATGTTTCATGCTTTGCTTTTTCTTTCTTTATGTTTTGCTTTTCCTTGTTTTCGGCTCCTCCTGTTTCTTTTCCTTTCTTCCGCTCATTTATATGAGCTTTTCTTGTACTTGGTTTCACACAATACAAATATAGACATTCAAAATTCAATACATTGTCTGAACTATTAAAAGTTGAACAAATATTACCTTACGCGCGCCAATTATGCATTTCTACATTTAAAAGTTTAAAACCAAGATAATGGGTCTTTATCAAAAGACCTACGGCATGTTTGTCTGTCCAGAATATTTATCCAAAGCTAAAAATTATTCGAGAATAGTACAAGTGATATTTATCCAAAGCAAAGAAGTTCCATATCAATATGTTGTTATTATGGCGTTCGCACATGGATAATATGCGACATGCATCTCATATATAGCAGGGATTTTTTTTTTTTTTTTTTTTTTTTCAGGTTAGCACAAAGTTTTCAGACTTGTTTGGATTCAGTGGGCCAGTGCCGGAGTGAATCAACGGTAGACTTGCAATGGTTGGGTTCGCTTCAGCTCTGGCGGTGGAACTATCCAAGGGTCAGGATGTGTTTGCTCAGATATCCAACGGTGGAATCTCATTATTCCTTGGAACTAGTATTTTGCTATCAGTGGCATCATTGATTCCTTTATTTAAAGGAGTCAGCGTGGAGTCAAAATCAGATGGGATCATGACCTCAGATGCTGAGCTCATAAATGGACGGTTGGCCATGTTAGGTCTCGTAGCTTTGGCCTTCACTGAATGTGTGACTGGCGGAGCCCTAGTTTAGGTCTTAATCATTTTGCTAGGATGCTTTTTGGCTTAATATATTTTTTTTTTTTGACATGTATTTAGTGTTTACAGATGCTTATAAGAATAATGTTACGTTTTTGTACCAAATAATCCAAACATATTCTTAATTTTAGCAAGCATAAATATATATATATATATATATATATTTAGATGGAGAAAAAAATATTTTTTTGTAAAAAAAAAAAATCAATTTAAAGAATAGTTACATGCAATAACTTGAAAGTGGACGGTATTGAGATGATGGTGCCATTAAAATGGTATCTCTGGTACAAATTTTCTCCTATCAACATGAGTATGCCTAGAGAGGAGAGAAAAATTACGTACCTCTACATATGTCACGAAATTACCTTCATAGTAGGCACAAATATATAAAGAGGGAGGAGCTATGCATATGAACGAAATGCATTCTTTTCGAACGAGAAAATATTCATTACTAACCATAAATACAAATGTAAGTACAAATCCAAACTTAAAAACACGTCCCCGCATTTCTTAAGGAAAGGAATTCACAAGAATCAAATGAATGTTAGAGGGAAAACAGACGAAAAGAAAATACTTAGCAATAGTATAGTACATCAATTACAGCTATTTTGTTTTCTGCTATCCAACTCTTCTTTGCACTCTGCATTTCCTCTTCCCTTAATTTCGAGAAATACTGCTTGCCAATAGCATCAAGCTCCCTCTTTAGCGCATCATACCTATCTTTGTCCGCTAGAGACAACTCCGATGAAGGTTTCCATCCGGGTACAAGCTTCACAATCGAGTTATCAATTAGCTCAGCTACGACAGATACATCTTCATGTGAAAGATCAAGTTGCTCAACCATCTCCCAAGCAATTGAAATCACAGTATCAGAATCGAGATAGAACTCAAACCTGATATTCCTCACAAGACCACATGTATCAGCAATGCGCAAAGTTAAAGACACTGTGTTATCGGGATTTTTCCCCGCTCTTAACCTGAACTCATTATTCTTAGAGAAACCATGTAACTCCAGCACTGACGAGTTAGATGCGGGCTCTGGCAAGTTAAACAACTTTTGTAGTTGTGAAAGATCACAGCTGGACTCATTCAAGTTGTCAGTTGCAAGGATTGGATCTTTCAAGAGTTCCGCCGCAGACAATCTCATAGAAGCTGTAACTAGACACTTCTCTATGAACTGCTTGATTTGAGGATTGTCTACTTTACTGAGGGAAGCAGGCTTTACACCAGAGGTAACCTTTTTATAAATTTGCGCCAGATTTTTACATTCACTATAAGGGTATTCACAAGTCACCATCTCTAGCATGCACATGCCAAAAGAATAGATGTCGACTAATTCATTGTATTCCTCGTCATAAAGCTCTGGAGCCATGAATTCAGGGGTGCCAATTATGCTATGAGCAGTAGGCTGCTGCATGACAATCGCCAATCCGAGATCTCCGATTTTCAGTTCTCCATTAAATCCATTGACAAATAGGTTGTCACACTTCAAATCTCTATGAATAATTGGAGGATTATGAGAATGCAGATAGTCCAGACCTCGAAGAATCTGTCTAGCCCAATTCTTGATGGCTTTCATATCGACATTCTTATGCTTATTTCGGTACTGCTTCAAGCTCCCGGAAGTGAATAACTCTGTTATCATGTTGATGGTCATGTTCTCATCATCCACCCAAGAGTTATGGAACTGTACGATGTTTGGATGTTTCAGTGACTTCAGCAGATGAACCTCCGAATACAATCTTTCCACTTCTTCTACTCCCTTGATATTCACTCGGCACCAAGCTACTTCGACTCCTTCGACTTCATCAAATGCCTTATATACAGTCTTGAATGCTCCCCTCCCCAATACTTCGTCATACCGCAAGTATCTCCCAGTCGGATCTTTCTCCACAACGCCAGCATCTTCCAAACCACTACAGGAGTCCATAACCTTAAATCTCCGCAAAGGAACAATATTTTCTTTCGTTCCTCGGAGAAAAGACAAACGTATCTCAAAAACTCTATCGATCAAAGCTTCTAGTTCTCAACACCAACCGGAATCAGATTAAGACGGTGCATGCTCAAAAAACGCCTCCCAAGCCACGGTGTAGGAATCAAACGCTGATCGAAGACGAAAACTGCATCCCATAAACCACATGTCCCCGAATTCTGTACCAGAATTTTGGCGGTTCGCGGCGGAGCTCCCCGTTGTTAAAACTATCCGAGACTTAGCCATGGCGCTATCTGCATCCCCAAAATCAAATGCTGAACCACGAAAGTCTCAAAAATCTCTAGCCGAGAGGCAAACTACTTGATTCAAAACCCTAAGAGTGCCCTAAAAACCAGAGACTGAATGACGGAGAGAGCGAGAGAGATTAGAGATGAAAACCTAGCGATTGGAATTGGGAGAGAGACCTGTTAATTAATTATGTAGGGTAGGGGGAAACATTATATATTGTAGTTTGATTAGGATTTCTCGGAATTTCAATTTTTTAGGACTTCTACTTCTAGTGGTACTTGTACTTGTGCACCAAACTCATGGAGTTGGATTAGGGTTTTTGGGAATTCTGATTTTCGAGGACCTCGTTTACTGTGTACTTGGAAACAATTATTATTATGATAATGTTAAGAATACTAAATTTTGTAAATTAAATGATGTTAGTTGTTGATGATTGGATTATTACTTAACCGTTAATTATCATGCTTATTTTTTTTATTGGTGACACATAATTTAGTTTACATATATAATTTATAAATTTAGTCTCATTAGCGTTACCCTTATTATAAATGATCTAGATTAAAGAATTTAGCAATTCTCATTTTCACTTATTTATTATAAAAAAAAAAAAAAAAAAGAGAGAAGAGTTTACTACTAATTTTCCCCTTGAACTTTTTGCTTAGCTTTCGATTTCCCTCCCAAACTTTTTAATTGGAAAATTAAGCACTTAAAACTAATTTTTTGGCTGATTTCCCCATACCATTAGTTTTTCATAGATTCCATCCAAATTAACATTAACTCTTATCACATGCACACCACGTGACACTCCTTTGAGGACAAAAACGTCACTTCACTAGACCTTCAGACACAAAAGCTATAGAATCACACATATTTGCATAAGTCGACATTTTAGAAATCCAGGGTTTTCAATTGCCTTAAAGAATGAAGTGACCGAAGTACATTCACATGTTGTGCACATGCCTTTATTAAACAAAAATTTGGATGAAATGAATGAAAAACTAATAGTAGGGGTGTAATCGGCAAAAAAATTAGTTTGAGTACTTAGTTTTTCAATTAAAAAGTTTAGTGGGGACTTCAAAAGTTCAGTAATGCTAAGGAAATTGACACACCCCGACCCGGAATATCCATTAGGACCCCAAATCTAGACGTGCTAGCCGACACCAGGAAGGTGATGAAGCTATAAAGTGTGATAATGTAGAAAATGTGAATAAATTAAAATCTAAAAGTGCTTAAGTACACGAGTGAGCGGTGAGCGGGTCTGGACCCATTTTAGGCGTGATACAGAGCATAGATATAGTACAGTAAGGTAAGATAATGATTATACCATAAAAGAATCCACCTATACTGGGAAGTGCCACAAATCCTCGTTGATACAGAAACTCTATTGCTAGTACCTGGAGGGGTGCATAAATAGAAAGTGTGAGTGAGTGATCGAAACTAGGATTTTCAAAATCATTTCCATTATCAAAGGTAGTAACCCCTCGCCGTAAAACTCGAATAGTTTCCAGAAAATCATACTACGTATAAGTATGAAATCAAATGTATAACAATAGTAAATCCAAAAGTATACCACGACATTGCATCTCATTAGCAACATAAATAATCATGTGTTTGATAATCCATACTAGCATGCAAGTCGGAAGTCACCTATGGTGACATGTACGATTGCACCCATATCTCCTCAATCAATGCTAGCACATAAGTCGGAGTCACCTATAGTGACCTGTACGACTTATCCATCTCTCATCAATCAATGCTAGTCAATAGCTCAATAACATGCTAGCCAATAGCTCAATAACATGCTAGCTAATAGCTCATCAACATACTAGCCAATAGCTCAATAACACGCTAGCCAATAGCTCATCAATATGTTAGCCAATAGCTCAATAACATGCTAGCCAATAGCTCATCAATATGCTAGCCAATAGCTCATCAATATGCTAGCCAATAGCTCATCAATATGCTAGCCAATAGCTCATCCATAAGTATACCTGCACACGAGTCGGAACCACCTAAAGTGATTTGTACAACAGGCTGGGTGTAAATAAGTACGCTCAAGTGCTATAATCACGTGAAGGTTGTGCAACGAATCGCAGGTCACCTATGAGTCGGAACCACCTAATGTGGTATGTACGACAGGCTGGCACCTACCTTGGATTCAAAGTGAGCGTGTGGTGCAGGAAGTGAACGATCATGTGAAGGCTAGGCCCTGGTCACAGGCGGGAGCACTAACACCGGGGTGCAGGTTTATGAGCTCAAATATATCTCAACACAATTATACTCACTATTATCACTATCATCAACATGTACTCACCTGAAGCTTACCTGGACGTCCGCAACATCATTTGGTACTTCAAAGCATTCACAATAATTAGGTTCAGGTACTATACATATGAATATGCCATGATGTAAATTTAAAATTTAACCATATTATAATATTTCTAAATATAAACATATATACAAATGGCATGAAATGCATAATTGTAACACCCCACTCCCGAACTATTTACTTTCGAGAATAATCATCACTGATAAGTCCAAATAGACACTAATTAAATTAACTATCAGTACTTACCTTTCCTTACTTCAATTTCTTGATTCTTTACATCTTAATTTATGACCAACATTTAACTACCAAAACCTAAGGTTAAATCTCACATTTTTCACCAATCTCCCTCACACTACTCAATTCCTCAAACAAGGCTATTGTCTCAATTATTTAGTCTCATTTATTATATGGCTGCATCTAACGTCTCGTTAAACTGCTTACGTGCCCTAAACATGGATCAAGCCATTCGTAGTTCACATTAATTATTTGCATGTGACATGCATAAATCAATTTAGAAACATTTGTGGAACTATCAATTATATACATATGATAAGAAGGAAAAGATCCACTCACCTGGAGTCCACGCTATGATTCACTAGCACGTACATCAAAACGTCCCGAACAATTGGCGCCTATAACAACTATCGAATCATATCTCAGAACTCATATCAATAGGATACATAATTCAAATAAAGCACATCTTCAAGGACATTCTAAAATAGTTTGAGACCCATTGATCACAAGTTAACCGTAGATCAAAGATCGACAGTAGGGTCTACAACCCTGTATAACTCGATCCAGAAGATCCGCATATCAGATTTCCAATCCGTACTTCCAAAAGTCCACATTATGCTTCTAGAATAACATACTAAAATTTCATTACGATCCAATGGTTAGATCTTTGCCAATTGCCCAAAACCAAGTGACGATTAACATTTATTTTACGAATTTACAAATCCAATTCAGGAAGATTCGTACATCGGATTCCCGATCCGTAAATTCCTATGGTCCTTAAATATTATGTATTATAATGTATCCATGTTTGGTGACGATCCAATGGTCGGATCATCAATTCATGCAAGGACCTCTTAATGGCCAACTAGGTGGTCAACTATGAAACCATATTAAACATCACAATTGTACTAAACGGATGTCAATTATGGAATTGGGGCTTCAAAAGTAGCCTAGGAAGGTCAGGTGGAGTCTCGGTCCACGTGCCGCCACACGCGCCGCGGCGTGTGGTGGCCGTCCGCCACGATTCGCCGGAAAGTTCCACTATTTCCAAAAATTACCAAAATTTATAGGAATGAAGATCTCAATGAGTAGAGTAACTTTCATACCTGTGACCAAGGCCAATTAGGCCGGGAAAATCTTTAATTTTGTTAAACCCATCGGAAACCCTATACTTGGGTGTTTTCAATTCGACCTCCAAACTTGCTTTGACGCCTCCACCACTACCTCGGCTTTGTTCCTGGATTCTAGGGGAGTGTTTTGGTAGTGGTAATTGAAGGAGGTGGTTTCACATTTGGTAGATCACAAGCAAGGATTCTTATGGCATCTACGGTGCGGATTTCCCAGTTTCAAGGCCAAATTCACTCCAATTTGGCGTGGAGTAGGTAGAGGGAAGAATTCTAGGATGATTCCAAGTGTTGAGGGGTTCTAATTTGCCAGAGAACAACTAGAAAATGCACCGGAATTAATGGTGCCGTCGAGTCGACCCGAAATGGAAAACGGGGTAAAGGGATCCGATGTATCCCTCTACCTTCTTTCCCCTCCTGTTTCCCTCTTCTGGTTGGTCACTCACCTTCCTCTCTCCTCTCCTCATTCGGCCACTCTCTCCCGGTTCCTCCTACTCTCTTCCTCTCTTCTCCTTCGCTGCCATCAGGCAGCCACTCCTCTTTTCTTTTCTTTTTTCTTTTCTTCTTTTTCCCTTTTAAAAAACTAAAAAAACAATTAATAAAAATATTATAAAAATATAAATAGTAACTAAAACAAAGTACTTCTTGGGTTTACAGTTCCGTAAAACTTTAACCGTAACTCCAAATTCACTTCTGCTTATGCCTACGTGTCTGTATCGTCGAGTACTCAGGAATACTCAAAAGGAATATCTCGTATGTCTCACTATACGTTGGTCAACGAAAGTCAATACCCTTGCCTCAAGGGCATTTTCGTAAATTCATTCTTTTAAAATTTATTAAATAATAAAATTTGGAACGGGTTGTCACAGAAATCATCCATTTAAATTGTATTTTGTAAATCATATGACGTGGTTGTTGATGAATGAATTATTACTTAAATGTTGATTAACATGCTTATTTTCTATTGTTGACATATCACATGGTTTGAAAATTTGGTTTACCCAATATTAGCCAAAAAAGAAATGCTAGCATTTTTTTTTTATATAGATTTTCTTCTTTTTTGTTTCTTATCCTCTAATGTTTCATAACGATCCGAATCGTCTATTTTCTAGATCACTCTTTAAAGATATTTTTACAAAAATTAACTAAATCCATAATCACGTTTGTTAGTTAAACAATGAAATTATGATATTGCTAATTAAATGGTTAGATGATTTCTATTTTTATATATTGTTGACAGAGCATATCATTAACGATGAATCCAAATCCTCTTTGTGAGAATCATGGGATTCCGTGAATCGTGTTCGTTTATCGTGCATCATGCGGTCAGAAATCATTTTATTTTATTTTTTATTTAAAATTGAACACAAACAATACTTGATGAAAACTGATCACACGATGTACAATGAACAGACACGATTCACGAACCTCGAATCTTCATAAAGAGGATTTGGAGGATACTGTTGGATTAACAATGGTCGTGAAAATATTTTTTTTATTATTAAATAACAGTGCAGGAATTTTAAAATTATAAAGGACTTAGAAGGTGAAAGTTGGTAACATCCCCTTTTCAAATGCTTTATACTGCAAGTTCATATATGTTAACACATGTACTAGGACCCAAAAGTTAAACTAGTTAGTCGTCGTATAAAACGGTAAATACTTTCAAAAACGCATACACCCATACTGCAATATAGAATTAAACTTGGTGCTAATTAATATTAATTGTGTACTTGTGCATATGGCTATACTACATTGAAAATACTAGAAAAGTAAAAACCTTAAAAAATTAAGGGGAGCAGAATTAATTCTTTGACTTGTTCATTGTGCTGTGTTTGGGGAGCCACGTCCCTCAGATCACCATACATGGACTAGACAACAGATAAATTGCCCACAAAGCTCTCCAAAACTATCAGACAAATGCAAATGATGAGAGGGTAGTCATGGCCCATGATGAACAAGCAAAGCAATATAACCATCCAATCCAACCTTTTTCTTTTTGGCGAAAACGAATCAAAAGCTTCGTTGTCTAGTGCAATTGTGTCTGTTATTACATATGTCCTCTAGTTGAAACCTAGAAACTAGTACTCATGGCCCCGTGAGGCATTAGTCGGCCGGTCCTCTTCCTCCCACGTACAAACCTTTGAAAACCTTGAACAAATGTAAATCACTGCCTGGTACGTTGTGGTGTATACTTCTAGCGCGTCTCTCAAACCATTACATGGACAAGTGAATCCATGTGGCACAATATATACTTGGAAGACAAATTAATCAGAGACCTCTTGCCAAAATATACACTGTTTATTTTGAATTTCCAGCTCTCATACGTCCAATAAACTAAATTTGACCTCCTAATTCTGTACATATAAAGTATATCTATTAATTTATTCACTATAATAATATTGAGCCTAAAGATAAAACCCTAAATACACAACGAAAATGGCACAAAAAGTGGAGATGTACACTAGGCGCCCAATAATGAGTATGGGTAAAGTGCTTGATAAAATGCCTCACTTAAGTTGAAAAAAAAAAAGTTAGGGCCGCTCGCGCTCTTTTGGGAATTTTATGAAGACCTGCATCAACCATTGCTTAGTTAGGCCCCTCATGAACGCTATTTTTGGCTTCGCCTCTTAAATGTGTTTGCATTACAATCCAACGTTGATGACCATGAACATCTTATTACAATGTAGATGTAAGTTATTACTAGGGTACGTCATGATAATACACAACTTCTTAGTCACTTATGTCCTCCCATTCTGAATTATAACAATGTTACAACATGATTTTAACATTCAAGGCGTGAGCTACAAGATAGATAAGGTTACATATAATGCTATAATTTAATTACACAAAATGACGTCAGTAATACTATAAAAAGGTTGACATTTACGTTCTAGATGTTGTATTATACCGTAAATATAGGAAACTATACTTGAACATGATTGCATTGGACTACAAACGTTAAAATTTAATAATACATTTGGATGCACAAAATGACTAAATCCAATAGGAGAATATGATGGTTTTACCCTTGACATTGTGAGCAAAGCACATGGTACGTACCTCAAAGGGCCTGGCACCTTTCGGCCCATATGTATTAGATTTTCGAGTCAATTTCATATCAAGATACCCTTTAGGCCAGGATATCCCAATCCTGACACCATGCCATACTCGACCTAAGGTAGCAAGAAGCAGACTCTTTTGAGTCTCCCTTGAGTGTCCTGCGTTACATGGTAGTTATCTACCAAAGACCTTTGAGACTATTTGTAAGTAGTCTGTGGAGACTGATTTGCATCACACTAGCACAACACAGAGATTTGCCTAGTATGGCCTACAGCCCCCCTCCTAGCTGCATGTGAGGGTTTACTCCTATAAATAGTCATGTTCCAACAGAGGAACCGATAATCACCACTTACTACTCATAATTCTCTTTATTCTAGTTTTTCTCAAACTATTCACTGACTTAGCCATCAAAGGCCCTTTGGTGGACGCCCTCCTTATTTCTTGGGTATTCGACAATTAGACTAACAGTGAGTCTTATTTTGTCAGTGGAGTTTTGTCAATTCAACCTTGAACGAAATTCACATTTACAATAATACCTATAAACTATTTTTTTTAATTAAAGAGTATTTTAGACTAACTCATCCATATAGTTTTGGTTGAATTAAATTTTTTTTTTTAAGCTTAAGTATATTGACGAACTAAAAAAATCAAACAACAAACCAACCCTGTGTGCGACGTTATAGTGTGTGCCGGGAGCCACGTCTCTTATATGTACTGTGCACATGGTATATATGGACAAGACCAAACAACAAAGCTGTCCTAGCTATCAAACAAGTGCAATTATGCAAAGTGACCAGGAGAGCGGGCCACCAAGTACTCATCTAACATTTTTCTTGCGGATGAAACTAAACGAAGCATAAAGATCTGTTCTCTAGTGCAATTGTGTCTGTTATTGCTATACAGTGTCCCCTAGCTGAAAGGAGTCATGGTCTTGTGAGACATCGTTCCCTTGCTCAAAATATCATAAAAATTTGAAGACCTGACAAATTAATGTGACCCCAGGATGGTCACTACTGGCTAGATAGCAATGTTGTATGTTCTGCAGCCATGCATGTACGTCGGCCTCTCATTCCTTCAAGAGAAGTATACTTCTTTTTATTCTCTTCTCTAGTCATATAATTACAGCTACACAATGCATGTTTCAAGTAAGTTATTTTTTTCTTCTAACAGACGTGGTCAAGTGTCACTGGGAAAGTAAAAAGTGATGAGGTGCCAAACTATACACCACTTAAAGAGCTTCCCCCACTAGGGCACCATTACCTTATAAAAAGCAACTAAGGTGCTCAAACCTTGATATCAAGAAGTAAGAACAAATTACGTCTCCAAAAGCTTAGAGTTTGATCTTTTTGTTAGTGTTTAACCAAGAACCAAAGTACATATTTATACAATGGCTGCATCAGCAACTTTCATGCATTCAACATTCCTAGCTAATTCCTTGGCTTATGGAGCGGGAAAGAATAAATCAGTTAGGGTGAATCAGCTTGTTGCACCAACCGTGCACATCTACCCTCAAATAAGGATATGCTCAATGGCCAAGGTAATTATTCTATTCTTCTGTCTTCTTCGTTATTTGGCTTATATATGTGCATCTTAACTACATATATTTATAAAATAATAATACTAATTACGCACTATATCTGATTTATTTTTCATTTGTAGGATGGTCGGAAGAAACAACCATCTATAGTTACAAATGCATCAAAAAATCCACCACCACCACCTCCTACACCTTCTTCTCCCAGCAAGGTATTGTTTTGTTTAAGTGTCTAGTGTTACTTGAATTGATCCGTTATTTATTTGTTGTATTGTCTTAACTATTAAAAGTTTAATAAATATTACCTTACTCATGCTAATTATGCATTTGTACATTTAAAACTTTAAAATCAAGATAATATGGGACTGTCAAAGGAACTACAAGTTTGTATGTCGGTATTGATATAAGTCCAATCCAATTTATTCGAGAGCAATACACGAATATTCATCCAAAGATTAAATTTAGCTACCCCAATGTATATATGTACTGCTAGGGAGTTCCATAGCAATATGTCATTACTGTGGCATTCACACATGGATAATATGTGAAATGTATCTCATAGCAGGTTGGCACAAAGTTTTCAGACTTGTTTGCATTCAGTGGGCCAGTGCCGGAGAGGATCAACGGCAGACTTGCAATGGTTGGGTTTGTTTCAGCTCTAGCAGTGGAACTATCCAAGGGGCAGGATGTGTTCGCTCAGATATCCAATGGTGGAGTCTCATTGTTCCTTGGAACTAGTATTTTGATAACAGTGGCATCATTGATTCCTCTATTTAATGGACTCAGCGTGGAATCAGAATCAGATGGGATCATGACCCCAGATGCTGAGCTCATAAATGGAAGGTTGGCCATGTTAGGTCTCGTAGCCTTGGCCTTCACCGAGTATGTGAAGGGCGGAACCCTAGTTTAGTTCTTAATCATTATGTTAGTATGCTTTCTGGCTTAATACTTTATAATTTCTCACATGTATTTAGTGTTCACAGATGTTTATAAGAATAATGTTACGTTTTGGTACCCCATAATCTAAACATACTTTTAATTTTAGCAAGCATAAATATTATGAGCTATTTAGATGGGGAAGTTCTATCTTGTAATCGAAAAAAAAAAAAAAAAAAAAACAGCACCATCATTCAAAGAATACATACATGCAATAACTTGGTAATAGACAGTATTGAGGTGATGGTGCTACTAAATGGCGTCTCGGATACAAGACAAATTTTATCCTATCTTTAAGTATGCCTAGAGCAGAGGGAAAAATAACCTCCGCATGCACCATGAAATTACCTTCATAGTAGGCAAAAGAAACACTTTTTTTTGAAACAAGAAAATCTTCATTACTAACCGTAAACGCAAAATGTATGTACATGGCCAAACATTTTCTGCTATCCAACTCTTCTTTGCACTCTGCATTTCTTCTTCCGATAATTTCGAGATATGCTGCTACCAATAGCATCAAGCTCCCTCTTTAGCTCACCATACCCATCTTTGTTCGTTAGAGACAACTCTGATGAAGGTTTTTCTCATCCTCACGATCTCATCCACTAGATCTGTAGATGCTCTATATGCAAGCATTCGCAAGGCAGCTGTAATTTTTTGCTCAGGAAGAAAACCTAGAACATGAAAAACATCCATTTTTTGCACAAAGTATAGATCATGGTTGCAAATAGCACTCATGATTTTGTCAAACAAACTTCGTTGCATTCTAAAACGACGTCTAAAAACATGATCACGGAATACGCTGTTGGGAATAAAATAATCTTCAAAGAGATCTTTACCTCGTCTTTCGCTTTTTCTATCAAAGTTTGCGACATGTCTGAGTTTGGTTATCTGACCCATAACTTCCATTACACAGAGGGAATGTGAGGCTCTTTGCCTTCTATGGTCATCTTCCTTATCCTCCTTTATTGCGAAAGCCTCATCTCCATCTCCACCTTCCTTGAGATTAACCAATTCTTCCTGTTATGCCAACAATCTTTCTGTTGGTCCTCAAACTGTTTATACACTCTCCTTGAAGAAGACATTGTAAGAGCTCAAGATTTGAAAACGATGAAGATGGATGTAGGGATGTAGGGTTTATATGGACAAAAAAAGAAAGGATGAGGTTCTGGGTATTTTTTTCACACAAAAAGCATATGAAAGCTTTGGTAGAAAGGATGAGGATTAGGTATTTATAAGAAAATTAATTAATTAATTTTTTATTTTTTAACAATTTTAATTTAGTTTATTAATCTGGATCTTTGATTAATAGCCTATACGTTGACATGTGGCCAACAGTCATACTTCTGACCGTAGTGCTTTTTTTTTTTTTTTTTTTTTTAATTTATGGGGGAAAAACATGGACCGTTGATCTCTGGAATATCGAACGGTCCAGATCAAGCCACATCACTAGCCGTTGGATTTCAAATTCAAAATTTTTTGACCGTTGGGAGTCCAACGATCTAGAAAACTAGCCGTTGGAAATCTAATGGCCCAGGATTGGCCACGTGGCCTCTCATTAGATTGGTTTAGTGCACCTGCGCAAGTGGGCTCACCTCTGATTTCTTGTCGGTGATGTGCACCTGGTGTAAAAAATAAAATAAAATGTCATCCAACGTCACGCTGGCGTCAGCATGACGCCAGATGAGCCGTCCTTTACTCTATCAATTCTAAGCCGGCTTGTGGCCTGGCTTGGGCTAGGTGCCAGCCTATTAGGCTGGGATGGAGCAAAAAAAGGGCATGCCAATCCATTTTTTGGCCTGGGTGCTAGCCTAAAGGGCTGGGGTGGAACTGCTCTTAGTAGTGCTTGGAAACAAATTATTTTTATAAATTATTTTGTTAAACTAATGCAGTAACCAACTTAGATCAGAGGGGCATGTGTTAGTGTTACTTTGGGACCAGTTTAAAAAACAATTTAGAGGTTACCTGGGCCAGTATGCCTCTCCATCTCAGATCACAGGGGCATTTGTTCCTTTTTCTAATCTAAAAACAAGTTTGATGCCACTTAGTACTATGGTCTAATGGTTTTCCTCTTCACTTGTAAGTTAGAGGTCTTAGGTTTGATTATCGTCAAAAGAAAATTTGAACCATATTATTATTAACTCATTGTATATAGTATCGTTTTTAAAAAAAATAAAATAATAAAATAAGTTGCCAACTTAGTACATTGATGACTATCTAGATCATAGAATTTACCAAATCTCATTTTCACTTATTTATATTAAATAAAAGTAATGCTAGATAAATTATCTATTTAAATCTTCATACTTTGTAAATCATATGACGTGGTTGTTAATGCTTGAAAAATCATATGATGTTGTTGTTGATGATTAAATTATTACTGAAGTATTGATTAATGTATTTATTTTTTATTGGTGACACATCACATGATTTGCAAATTTGGTTTAAAAAGTTGGTCTAACTAACATTACTTAAAAAAGAAATGCTAGCAACATTTTTTTTTTTTAGATTCTCTCCTTTTCATTTCTCATCCTCTATTATTTTATGATGATCTGAACCATCTATTTTTTTATATCACTCTTTATAAATATTTTTACAAAAAATTAACTAAATCCATAATCATGTTCGTTGGTTAAACAATAAAATTATGATAATATTAATTAAAAATTTAGATTTATTTCTGACAGAGTAGATCATTAAACGATGATCGTGAAAATATGATTTTCATTATTAAGTAACAATGCAATAAAGGACAAAGCAGAAAGAGAAGGCCATCGTTTAATGATCTACTTATAAGGTGGAGATTGGTAACATCCCCTTATCAAATGCTTTATGCTTAAAGTTCATATATGTTAACACATGTACTAGTACCCAGAAGTTGATCATCGTATAAAACAGTAAGTAGTTTCAAAAGGCATACACGCATACTGCAATATAGAAATTAAACTTGGTGCTAATTCATATTAATTGTGTGCTTGTGCATATAGCTACGCTACGCTGAAAATACTAGAAAAGTAAAAACCTTAAAAAATTAATGGGAGTAGAACTAATTCTTGACTTGTTCATTTTGCTGTGTTTGGGGAGCCACGTCCCTGAGATCACCAAACATGGACTAGACAACAGATAAATTGCCCACAAAGCTCTCCAAAACTATCAGACAAATGCAAATGATGAGAAAGTGGTCATGATCCATGATGAACAAACAAAGCAATATAACCATCCAACGCGAAAACGAATCAAAGGCTTCGTTGTCTAGTGCAATTGTGTCTGTTATTACATATGTCCTCTAGTTGAAACCTTGAAACTAGTGCTCGTGGTCCCGTGAGGCATTAGTCGGTCATTTTCCTCCCCTATACAAAACTTTGAAAACCTTGAACAAATGTAACCTCAGAAATCACTACCTAGTACATTGTGATGTATACTTGTGGCACGTCTCTCAAACCACTACGCGTAGACGAGAGAATCAACGTGTCACGATATTTACTAGATTTGTTGTCAAAAAATACACTGTTTATTTTGAATTTTCTACTCTTTTACGTCTAATAAACTAAATCTGACCTCCTAATTCTGTACATATAGAGTATATTTATTAATTTATTCACCATAACAATATTGAGCCTAAGGATACAAACCTAAAAATACAACTAAAATGACACAAAAGGTGGAGATGTACACAAAGCACACAATAATGAGTATGGGTTAAATGCTCCTTAAAATGCGTCGCTTAAAGTTGAAAAAATAGTTAGGGCATTTGGAATTTAACAATGACCTGCAGCCACCATTGCTTAGTTAGACCTCTCGTGAACGCTATTTCTAGCTTGGCCTCTTAAACGTGTTTGCACTATAATACCAGTGTGGTGCCGATTTTATCCTTACTTGATTTGTTTAATTTCGTTTGGACCGTTTTTACACGTGTTTTCATCCGTGCTTCCTTTCGCTTTTCCTCTATCCTGGACTCTTCTGCTCCATCTTTTCCACATGTTCATCATCGATGGTGCTTCTTTCCGATCGTCTTTCTCCCCATTCTCAGCTTTTGCTTATTCTACAACATTGGGTGTTGTTTCTCTGCGGCTTTCCAAACTCTTTATCATCAAGGTATATAATTTTTTTTCTTTTTCCTAAAGGTAAGCCAATTTGGTATTTTGGATTATATTAGAGTTGAAATAGGTTTGATTTCAATAACTTTTGGGATTATTGAATTTGTATTCTCTGTTTGGTTTTCTGGTTATTGAGTTTGGATAGGAATTTGAATTTGATTCACAAATTTCTGATAAACCCCAACAAGAAATTTAGCATTGTGAATTAGGGTTTTTAACTTCTGTGTTTTGGGATTGTCATCCTTTGTGTTTTGGAATGGCCATGAACATTCTCCCGGAAAAGTAATGCAATCAGCAATTCACATTTAAAATTTTCATTTTCTTTGCCCTCTCTAATGCAAATATATTTTTGCTAATTCATTGGTTTTTTATTTTTTCAAATTTGCAGTATTATTTTGAGGGACGAATATGATTTGGTCAAGTTCATCAAGCTGGTGCAACAAGCAGGTCTATTTGTTAATCTCCAGATTGGCCCTTATGTTTGCACCGAATGGAACTTCGGGTAATTATTTTTGTTACGAATAGTTTGTGATTTTTTTTTTTTTTTTTTTTATGATCTTATGTAATTATGCTTATATTCATTACTCTGTTTTTTGTTCTGTTTCTGAAACAGGGGATTCCCTGTTTGGCTGAAATATGTCCCCGGAATCGCTTTTCGAAGGACAATGAACCTTTCAGGGTAGGATATTATAAATCTTCCGTTTACACCAATGCAATTTAATTTTTTTTAATAAATAATTTTGAAGCTAAATTTAATTTCTAATTATCTGTTATGATAAAGGCAGAGAAGCTGCTTCAAACTCAAGGAGGTCCTATGATTCTTTCTCAGGTTAGAAAAGTGGTCGAGTTTTTAAGTTTTTCTGTGAAATATTGTTAGAATCGCTTTTCGTTGATAGAAAAAGCTTTTAACTTAATAATCTGTTTGTTGCTAACTTTTTCCTTTTTCGTTCAATCATGTAGAAAGATGATTATAATTTAGTTGCTCCGAAGATAAAACATGGATTTGTTTATGAGATCACACATTTCTATACGGGTGAAGTAAAACATCACACAAAATTGTCTTACTAGCCGCTCATTTGTTGTTCAATAGCAGAGCACAACAATTTACAAGGAGTTATCAATTAGTTCAGCTACGACAGGGACATCTTCATGTGAAAGATCAAGCTGCTCAACCATCTCCCCAGCAATTGAAATCACAGTATCAGACTCGAGATAGAACTCAAACCTGATATACCTCACAAGCTGTGTTGACGGGATTTCTCTCCGCTCTTAACCTGAACTCATTATTCTTAGAAAAACCCTGTAACTCCAGAACTGAAGAGTTAGATGCGGGGTCTGGCAAGTTCAACAACTTGTGTAGTTGTGAAAGATCACAGCTGGACCCCGTCAAATTGTCAATTGCAAGGATTGGATCTTTCAAGAGTTCCACCGCAGACAATCGCATGGAAACTGGAACTAGACACTTCTCCGTGAACTGCTTGATTTGAGGATTGTCTACTTTACTGAGGAAAGCAGGCTTTACACCAGAGGTAACCTTTTTATAAATTTGCGCCGGATTTTTACATTCATTATAAGGGTATTCACAAGTCACCATCTCTAGCAAGCACATGCCAAAAGAATAGATGTCAACTAATTCATTGTATTCCTCGTCATAAAGCTCTGGAGCCATGAATTCAGGGGTGCCAATTATGCTATGAGCAGTAGGCTGCTGCATGACAATCGCCAATCCGAGATCTCCGATTGTCAGTTGTCCATTAAATCCATTGACAAATAGGTAGTCACGCTTCAAATCTCTATGAATAATTGGAGGATTGTGAGAATGCAGATAGTCCAGGCCTCGAAGAATCTGTCTAGCCCAATTCTTGATGGCTTTCATATCGACATTCTTATGCTTATTTCGGTACTGCCCCAAGCTTCCGGAAGTGAATAACTTTGTTATCATGTTGATGGTCATGTTCTTATCATCCACCCAAGAGTTATGGAACTGTACGATGTTTTGATGTTTCAGTGACTTCTGCAGATGAACCTCCGAATACAATCTTTCCACTTCTACTCCTTTGATATTCACTCGGCACCAAGCTACTTCGACTCCGTCGACTTCATCAAATGCCTTACATACAGTCTTGAATGTTCCCCTCCCCAACACTTAGTCATACTGCAAGTATCTCCCAGTCGGATCTTTCTCGACAACGGCAGCATCTTCCAAACCGCTATAGGAATCCATAACCTTAAATCTCCGCAAAGGAACAATCTTTTCTTTCGTTCCTTGGAGAAAAGACAAAAACGTATCTCAAAAACGCTATCGATCAAAGCTTCTTGTTCTCAACCCCAACTGGAATCAGATTAAGACGGTGCATGCTCAAAAAATGCCTTGCAAGCCACGGTGTAGGAATCAAACGCTGATCGAAGACGAAAACTGCATCCCATAAACCACATGTCCCCGATTCTGTACCAGAATTTTGGCGGTTTGCGGCGGAGCTCCCCGTTGTTAAAACTATCCGAGACTTAGCCATGGCGCTATCTGCATCCCCAAAATCAAATGCTGAACCACGAAAGTCACAAAAATTTCTAGCCGGGAGGGAAACTACTTGATTCAAAAACCTAAGAATGCCCTAAAAACCAGAGACTGAATGACGGAGAGAGCGAGAGAGATTAGAGATGAAAACCTAGCGATTGGAATTGGGAGAGAGACCTGTTAATCAATTATGTAGGGTAGGGGGAGACGTTATATATTGTAGTTTGATTAGGGTTTCTGGGAATTTCAATTTTTTTAGGACTTCTACTTCTAGTGGTACTTGTACACCAAACTAATGGAGTTTGATTACGGTTTTTGGGAATTCTGATTTTCGAGGACCTCTGTTACTGTGTACTTGGAAACAATTATTATTAATTTTAGGAATACTAAATTTTGTAAACTAAAAGGTAATAGTTGTTGATGATTAGATTATTACTTAAATGTTAATTATCATACTTATTTTTTTTATTGGTGACACATAATTTAGTTCACATATATAGTTTATAAATTTAGTCTCATCAGCATTACCCTTATTATAAATGATCTAGATTAAAGAATTTAGCAATTCTCATTTTCACTTATTTATAAAAAAAAAAAAAAGAAAAAAGAGTTTACTGCTAATTTCCCCCTTGAACTTTTTGCTTAGCTTGCGATTTCCTTCCTCAACTTTTTAATTGGAAAATTAAGGGCTTAAAACTAATTTTTTTGGCTGATTTCCCTATACCGTTAGTTTTTCATAGATTTCATCCAAATTAACGTTAACTCTTATTACATGCACACCATATGACACTCTTTTGAGGACAAAAGTGTCACTTCACTAGACCTTCAGATACAAAAGCTATAGAATCACACATATTTGCACAAGTCGACATTTTAGAAATCTAGGGTTTTCAATTACTTTAAAGAATGAAGCGACCGAAGTACATTCACATGTTGTGCACATACTTTTATTTAACAGAAACTTGGATGAAATGAATGAAAAACTAATAATAGGGGTGTAATCGGCAAAAAAAATTAGTTTGAGTACTTAGTTTTTCAATTAAAAAGTTTAGTAGGAAAATCGAAAGTTCAGTAATGCTATGGAAATCATCCATTTAAATTGTACCTTGTAAATCATATGACGTGGTTGTTGATGAATGAATTATTACTTAAATATTGATTAACGTGCTTATTTTCTATTGTTGACACATCACATGGTTTGACAAATTTGGTTTACCTAATATTAGTCAGAAAAGAAATGCTAGCATTTTTTTTTATATAGATTTTCTTCTTTTTCATTTCTTATCCTCCAATGTTTCATAACGATCCAAATCATCTATTTTTTAGATCATTCTTTAAAGATATTTTTACAAAAATTAACTAAATCCATAATCACGTTTGTTAGTTAAACAATGAAATTATGATATTGCTAATAAAATGGTTAGATGATTTCTATTTTTATATAATGCTGACAGAGCATATCATTAATGATGAATCCGAATCCTCTGTGACAATCCTGGAAGTCCATGAATCGTGTTCGTTCATCGTATATCGTGCGGTCAAAAATCATTTTAAATTTTTTTTTTATTTAAAATTGAACACAAACAGTACTTGACAAAAACTGATCGCACGATGTACAATGAATGAACACGATTTATGAACCCCGGATCCTCATAAAGAGGATCTAGAGGATACTGTTGGATTAACAATGGCCGTGAAAATATTTTTTTATTATTAAATAACAGTGCAGGAATTTTAAAATTATAAAGGACTTATAAGGTGAAAGTTCGTAACATCCCCTTTTCAAATGCTTTATGCTTCAAGTTCATATATGTTAACACATGTAATAGGACCCAAAAGTTAAACTAGCTAGTCGTCGTATAAAATGGTAAATACCTTCAAAAACGCATACACGCATACTGCAATATAGAATTAAACTTGGTGCTAATTAATATTAATTGTGTACTTGTGCATATGGCTAAACTACATTGAAAATACTAGAAAAGTAAAAACCTTAAAAAATTAAGGGGAGCAGAATTAATTCTTTGACTTGTTCATTGTGCTGTGTTTGGGGAGCCACGTCCCTCAGATCACCATACATGGACTAGACAACAGATAAATTGCCCACAAAGCTCTCCAAAACTATCAGACAAATGCAAATGATGAGAGGGTAGTCATGGCCCATGATGAACAAGCAAAGCAATATAACCATCCAATCCAACCTTTTTCTTTTTGGCGAAAACGAATCAAAAGCTTCGTTGTCTAGTGCAATTGTGTCTGTTATTACATATGTCCTCTAGTTGAAACCTAGAAACTAGTGCAATTGTGTTTGTTATTGCATGTGAGGGTTTACTCCTATAAATAGTCATGTTCCAACAGGGGACCGATAATCGCCACTTACTACTCATAATTCTCTTTGTTCTAGTTTTTCTTAAACTATTCGCTGACTTAGCCATCAAAGGCCCTTTGGCAGACGCCCTCCTTATTTCTCGGGTATTCGTCAATTAGACTAACAGTGAGTCTTATTTTGTCAGTGGAGTTTTGTCAATTCAACCTTGAACAAAATTTACATTTACAATAATACCAATAAACTATTTTTTTTAAATTAAAGAGTATTTTAGACTAACTCATCCATATAGTTTTGGTTGAATTAAATTTTTCTTTTTGTTTAAGCTCAAGTATATTGACGAACTAAAAAAATCAAACAACAAACCAACCCTGTGTGCGACGTTATAGTGTGTGCGGGGTGCCACGTCTCTTATACGTACCGTGCACCTGGGATATATGGACAAGATCAAACACACAAAGCTGTCCTAGCTATCAAACAAGTGCAATTATGCAAAGTGACCAAGAGAGTGGGCCACCAAGTACTCATCTTACATTTTTCTTGCGGATGAAACTAAATGAAGCATACAGATCCGTTCTCTAGTGCAATTGTGTCTGCTATTGCTATACAGTGTCCCCTAGCTGGAAGGAGTCGTGGTCCTGTGAGACATCATTCCCTTGCTCAAAATATCATAAAAATTTGAAGACCCGACAAAATAATGTGACCCCAGGATGGTCACTACTGGCTAGATGGTAATGTTGTATGTTCTGCAGCCATGCATCTACGTCGGCCTCTCGTTCCTTCAAGAGAAGTATACTTCTTTTTATTCTCTTCTCTAGTCATATAATTACAGCTACATAATGCATGTTTCAAGTAAGTTTTTTTTTTTTTTTCCTAACAGACGTGGTCAGGTGTCATTGGGAAAGTAAAACAGTGATGAGGTGCCAAACTATAAACCGCATAGAGAGCTTCCCCCACTACGGCACCATTACCTTATAAAAAGCAACTAAGGTGCTCAAACCTTGATATCAAGAAGTAAGAACAAATTACGTCTCCAAAAGCTTAGAGTTTGATCTTTTTGTTAGTGTTTAACCAAGAACCAAAATACATATTTATACAATGGCTGCATCAGCAACTTTCATGCATTCAACATTCCTAGCTAATTCCTTGGCTTATGGAGCGGGAAAGAACAAATCAGTTAGAGTGAATCACCTTGTTGCACCAACTGTGCACATCTACCCTCAAATAAGGATATGTTCAATGGCCAAGGTAATTATTCTATTCTTCTGTCTTCTTCGTTATTTGGCTTATATATGTGCATCTTAAGTACATATATTTATAAAATAATGATACTAATTACGTACCATATCTGATTTATTTTTCATTTGTAGGATGGTCAGAAGAAACAACCATCTATAGTTACAAATGCATCAAAAAATCCACCACCACCACTTCCTACACCTTCTTCTCCCAGCAAGGTATTGTTTTGCTTAAGTGTCTAGTGTTACTTGAATTGATCCGTTATTTATTTGTTGTATTGTCTTAACTATTAAAAGTTTAATAAATATTACCTTACTCATGCTAATTATGCATTTGTACATTTAAAACTTTAAAATCAAGATAATATGGGACTTTGTCAAAGGAACTACAAGTTTGTATGTCGGTATTGATATAAGTCCAATCCAATTTATTCGAGAGCAATACACGAATATTCATCCAAAGATTAAATTTAGCTACCCCAATGTATATATGTACTGCTAAGGAGTTCCATAACAATATGTCGTTACTGTGGCATTCACACATGGATAATATGTGACACGTATCTCATAGCAGGTTAGCACAAAGTTTTCAGACTTGTTTGCATTCAGTGGGCCAGTGCCGGAGAGGATCAACGGCAGACTTGCAATGGTTGGGTTTGTTTCAGCTCTAGCAGTGGAACTATCCAAGGGGCAGGATGTGTTCGCTCAGATATCCAATGGTGGAGTCTCATTGTTCCTTGGAACTAGTATTTTGATAACAGTGGCATCATTGATTCCTCTATTTAATGGACTCAGCGTGGAATCAGAATCAGATGGGATCATGACCCCAGATGCTGAGCTCATAAATGGAAGGTTGGCCATGTTAGGTCTCATAGCCTTGGCCTTCACCGAGTATGTGAAGGGCGGAACCCTAGTTTAGGTCTTGATCATTATGTTAGGATGCTTTCTGGCTTAATACCTTATAATTTCTCGCATGTATTTAGTGTTCACAGATGTTTATAAGAATAATGTTACGTTTTGGTACCCCATAATCTAAACATACTTTTAATTTCAGCAAGCATAAATATTATGAGCTATTTAGATGGGGAAGTTCTATCTTGTAATCGAAAAAAAAAAAAAAAACAGCACCATCATTCAAAGAATACGTACATGCAATAACTTGGTAATAGACAGTATTGAGGTGATGGTGCTACTAAAATGGCGTCACGGATACAAGACAAATTTTATCCTATCTTTTGTTAACAATGAGGAATCAAGAAATCAACAAATACAGAGAGAGAAAGCTTCAAAACAATTATCTAAAATACTTCACTTTTCTATTTCTTTCTTCTTACTTTGATAAATACATCCTTATGGTATTTATAGCTTATACCATCCTTTACATTTGTAACTAACACTCTACCTCAACTAATCATCATATGACACTTGTCATTACACTAACCATTCTGTTGTACACTAAACACATGTTACAACCTATCATTCCCCCTCAATCCCATGCTTGGAACAACCAAGCATGAGATTGGAACAAAAATAGTTAAACTGAGAAGAACACAAGCCTTTGGTTAAGATGTCTACATACTGATCAGCAGAAGCAACAAACTGTAGGTGAATGGTGCCTTGTTGAACTCTTTCACGAACAAAATGACAATCAATTTCAATGTGCTTAGCTTTAGAATGAAGAACTGGATTAGTGGCAAGAGCCATAATTGAGATGTTATCACAATGTAGGGAGGGAGCATCAGAACAGGACACATGTAAATCCTGAAGAAGCTGTTGTATCCAAACTACTTCAGCAGTTGTAGTGGCCATGGCTCTGTACTCAGGCTATGTAGAAGATCGACTAACAGTATGCTACTTTTTAGAACTCCAAGAGATGGGATTAGACCCCAGAAAAATCACAAAGCCAGTGGTAGACCTCCTATCATTGGGGTCACTAGCCCAATCAACATCAGTATAGCCCAATCAGTATCATTGGGGAAGTTCTATCTTGTAATCGAAAAAAAAAAAAAAAAAAAAAAAAAACACCATCATTCAAAGAATACGTACATGCAATAACTTGGTAATAGACAGTATTGAGCTGATGGTGCTACTAAAATGGCGTCTCAGATACAAGACAAATTTTATCCTATCTTTAAGTATGCCTAGAGTAGAGAGAAAAATTACCTCCACATGCGCCACGAAATTACCTTCATAGTAGGCAAAAGAAACACTTTTTTTTGGAACAAGAAAATCTTCATTACTAACCGTAAACGCAGATGTATGTACAAGGCCAAACATGTTCTGCTATCCAACTCTTCTTTGCACTCTGCATTTCTTCTTCCCTTAATTTTGAGAAATTCTGCTACCAATAGCATCAAGCTCCCTCTTTAGCTCACCCATCTTTGTTCGTTAGAGACGACTCCGATGAAGGTTTTCATCCAGGTACAAGCTTCACAATCAAGTTATCAATTAACTCAGCTACGACAGAGACATTCAGTCATTTGTAGGTGGGCTAAGGAATTCCCACATGTAGCATTGTTGTTTTTAATAATTATGATATTATTTCTTATTTTGCCTCAACATTAGTTGACTTAAGATTTGTTCATTATCTCTGCAGCACACAGGCGACCTTAATAATGTAATGAGAGAGTACAATATCAACTGTACGGTAAATGATACTCTTTTTCTTTTCTTTTTTTTTTCTTTTTTTTTTTTTTTTTGACCATCTAATATATTTAGTGTAATTTTACCATAAGTTTAACCTTTGTTTTTAAAATATAATTCATTAATTTTGGTAATCAGCATACTTAAACTTAAATGTGATATATCCGTTTAGTATTTTTTTGTACAGTGATAATACTCAAGTATATTTTACATCATATATCTTTTGAAGAACATGAAACTATGAAGAAAAAAAAACCCTAATTAATCTGATTATGGGGGTTTTGTTTTATATCAAAATATTGCGGCAGAAACCACACTTTGAAGAGTTCATGCTGCACAGAAAGATGAAGAAATGCCACCCGTTGAGTCCATCATTACTCCACTGGAGACAGAGCTTAAGCTTGCTGCAGGAGGTCTGTTGTGTAATATGAGCCCTTTAATTTTGTTTTAAGACAGATAGGGTTGAAAAAACTTTATGTAGTATTTTTGTATCAGTTTTGAGTGTCTATTTTGGCTTCCATAATTGGTCTGTAAATGTGAGATATAGAGTATTCAACATGTATTTGGTTTCTATAGCGTTAACGGATTTATCGACTCATTTATTTACATGAATTAATAATTATAATGAGTTAAATTGTTGTATACCTTATGGATGTATTGCTTTCTTAGGTAACCAAGTTGCAGGATGACAACAGAACACTTGACCGACTTACTAAATCCAAGGTGGCTGCTCTGCTCGAGGCCGAGAGAACTGATCAGATTGCTAGGGCAAAAGCATCCTTGGTTGACGATCTGCATGTAAACCTTCCATTTCCATATGAAGTTTGCATTTTTGTTATTTCTGGAATTTGAGTTTTATTCTTTCTCATTTCTATCACATAGATTACGATTTCACATATGTATTATTAATGGTAATTATATGATAGAAGAATTGGGATTAGTTGTTGATTTATGGGGATTAGAAAATATAAGCGAGTGTGTGACTGAGTGAGGTCGTTGTCATCAAGGACCTAAGAACATGGAAAAAACGAAAGTGATGGAACTAGAAAGAAGAATACCAAATGAGGCACTGATTTGTTGAGATATTTCTTTTTGCTTGGAAAAAAATTGAGATATTGTGGATTATTACTAACATATATAAAACTATAAGCTTTTTAGATTGGGAAACAAAACCTACAAATTCAAATCAGACAAAAAATAAATATAAATTTTAACAGACTTAAAGATCAAACTCCAAAAGGGTATTAAAAACAAGGTTTATTTGATCCATTGAGTGTGAAAGTTTTGAGCCTTGAAGAAGCAGGGGAGGAGAGTTGTTAACCAAACAGCATTATCCATGTATTAGGATGTTGACGGTAGGCAGGAAAAATCCTTTTTTTACACCATATCCAGAGGAGTTGATTACACTACTGTATTCTATAACTAGCTTTGAGAAACAACTTTAAGCTTTAGATGATGTGTTCTCATAACCTCCTGCTCTGTAAACGATTTGTGTAGGTTTTGGAAGTGGTGCTGCTAAACCTCGTATACCCCACAATCAAGTTGTTTACACCTGAACACATGATAAAATTTATGGATCCGCCATGTATGGATACGTATGTATCTGCTAATAGTGTTCAGATTTTCACTTAAGTATTTTTATTAATTTGTGGACCAATTTTAGTTGCTAATCATTGTTGTAAAGGTTAATTAGTCCAATTACTTGAGATGGGTGTGTTAAATTGTGGTTACAGTTTTAAACCCGCAGCAGAGCGCGGACATCTGTGCTAGTATAAGCTATTTAGAAGGAGAAGTCCTATCTTGTAATCGAGAAAAAACAGCACCATCACCCAAAGAATACATACATGCAATAACTTCGTAATAGATAGTATTGAGGTGATAGTGCCACTAAAATGGCGTCTCGGTTACAAGACAAATTTTCTCCACAGGTGCCTCGAAATTACCTCCATAGTAGGTACAAACATATAAAGGATGGGGATCTAAGGATACGGAAGAAATATGTTTTTTGGAACCAGAAAATATTCATTGTTAGTTTTGTCATTTGGGAAACAGTTCAGGGGGAGGATGTATCATCAATGGAGTATCTGCTTGATAATCATGCTCATGGTGGTCGTGCTCCTGCTCCTGCTCCTTGTCATTGTAATACTTAAAAGACGGACGAGCGTAGACTATAATTTGAAAAGGTGGGGAATTCAATAAATAGGGACAGAAAATTTGAAACCATGAAATTGCAGCGGTCAGATTAACTGTATCATGTCCTCGGTACGGCATTACTACAAAAGGAGACAAAACTTGGTGAGAAGTAGAGTTCAGTTAATAGGTAGTATAGATTACATTGGAGATTTGGATTTTGGAATACGTTTTCGTATAAGAGGTACTAGTGTTGCAAACATATAAACAGAAAAAGAATGACAAGAATACATCTTTGCTACTATTTCACGTATCTACACATCCTCCGGAGAGCCTCAGCGTCTCTTGCAGCATCGTTCTGTATCACATCTACGGATCAACAAAGACTGCTTGCTTCGCCGACTCTCCATTAACACGATCGCTGGATTCCACTTCATAATCACTCTGTTTCTGCACAACACCAAATACTTGTTACTACAACGATAATCGAACACACCGATGGAGAGAATGGCAAGAGGGTGAGTCAGCTAAAGGCAGGAAAACAAATCCATCTCGATGTTGAAAATTTCCCCTTCTGGCAATATATGCAAATCATATTCCATGCACACAAAATATAAGCATATGAGGAGGCCTGCAGGTATGTACATACTTCGGAAGGAGGATCAACTGTAAACAAATTTATGGATCGAGGGTTGAAACCGAGCGTGCTGAAAACACATGAAAGAAAACAGATGTCAGTTAAAGAGACGACCCAAAGACAACACCTTATAGGAACTGTATTCAACCCGCACGGGATGCAAAATGGATAACAAGATTCATAATTTAATCGATGAATATCTAACATGTTCAATATTTACACGGAAAGTTCTGCACTGTGAAAATTTGACAAATATACAACCTATTTCAAGTAAGGACAGCCTATTTCAAGTAAGGACAGAAGGGGAAAAATGAGCACGTTGTTGCTTTTTAATTTATCCTCTATAAGGAGAGAAAATAGTTTACCAGCGAGATAGAACTAGCTGCCACAGGTACGGAATAAAGAACTCCTCCGGATGACTCTCTTGTTCGTATGTGAACCGCAACTGAGTGAACATCTGAGAAAAGATTTTTAGGACATTTTAAACAATCTCCAGGTAGCAACCGTGCACTTAGGCCACGTTATTCAACAATCAAAATTTCTTTTTTCATTTCTTTTCCTTTTTTACCTTCATCCCTTCACCCCGCCATGATCTGCAATTAATTATTATGACTTGGAGTACTTTCTCTACTGACCATTCACCATCCGTATTCTGGGCATCCATGCGGCTATTGAAAAAATCTAACACCTACAAAGCCAAACAAAAAGTACAATTCAAATGCACTAAGAAAACATGGACCAAGTAATCACCAAAACTTGCCTATTAATTTAAAAACAGGATAAGCTACAAGTTCTGTAACATACAGTGTAGATGTTTTCAAGCAGCTCGCTGAAGCGTGGATGATTCCTGAAAGGCTGAAAAACCTCCTGCCTGTGCATTATTGCATATACAACCTGTCCATTGCATACAGTGAGGAATATGGAAAACGGAAAAAATTATAAAGTGATAGCATTAATCATTTTGTGTGAACAATATAACACTATCACAGACAGACCCCTGCTAGTGTACATGAGAGTACCTCAGGATTTCGTGGCAGGGCATAAGTCAAAATTGCATTTAATATTTCAAGAACTAGTCTCAAGAAGTCGGTATATATATGCATCTCTGTTGACTGCAATAGGAAAAATTCTAGCTCAGTCGACAAAAGAATGGGAAAGGGTGTCAATGATAAGTTAAGGAGTGTTGTCATTACTGTATCATCTGCAAGGCCATTTCCTTCAAATGAGTTGCCTTTGGCTAATCGCATCTGATTATCTCGCACTTCTGCTAATTTGTTATACCTAAATCAAATATTACACAGAGAAATATTTTAAAAACTTTTAACAAAAAAAATCATGCCAGAAGTGCATTAAAGAATAACTTTGTAAACTACAAAACAAGTAGAAATGAAAAATATAAAGCTCATGGAGAACACCATAGACATAAAAGGTCATACTTTCGAGAGAGCATATCGAAAAGGCTGACCAATCTCTGGGATGAGTATGCACTCAAACGGTGGACATGAGGTGCCATGTTTGCCAAAGTTGCCAGACAAGTTGTATGGAGATAAACATCCTATTACAATGTAACAAACCAAACATGTTAGGAAAGTTACAAAATCTTCAAAGAAATGATGCCCATGATCATACCACCCTAAAACTATTGTCATGACTTTGTTAAAGTATTTAAAAGCTTAATCTCGAGGTCTTACATCCAACTGACATAAATATCAAGTCATATAAGCAATCTGACAATAACACTTGCAAGAAAATTCATGAAAATTCACTGTGAAAATGGAAAGATGGATACCCGCAACTTCGATAGGTTATACTGCACTGTCCGTATCAGCGTAATGACCATTAACGAACCAAGAGATGTTTGATGGAGGAGACGTTCTTTATACCAGGGAACACTAGGAAGTATCTGTTCACATGATAAATACATTAACAGGAGGCCTAATGAATAAAAGTCTAGTGCTGGCTACCAAAGGTGATCCTTACCAATTTGTGAATGCTGGCATTAAAAGAAGAATCCTGACTAAGTATGAGAAGAATAATAAGCAACATGTAGATTTGATTAGATGTCCTCTTTGGAGCATTGTATAAAGCTTCCAGTATAGGCATCAACTGTCCATTTCAAAAACATATTAGCATCAAGTTTCATATCAATGTAGAAGCAAACTTGATGACTCAAGGCATTTTCAAACAGAAATGACTAGTCCAAATAGCATGAATCAAAATTGGTAAATCACAACCTATGAAATATCTCCAAAGTCTAACACTCAAGGACATAAGTCGAAAAACAATATCATCTTAATAACTTTTTTTCATGACAAGATAAGCTTCTGTTCCATACCAGTGTATCCAAATCAGTTCGCACCAAGACATACTCCAGAAAGCCAGCATTCCCTTGCAACAAAGAGTAAAGCAAAAGAGCAGCAGCCTCATCAGCCAAGTACCTGCAGAAACACAACAAAATTGTTAGGTGATACTCAAAAAACAAAAGGGGGAAACAAACTTGGAGCAAGGTTGAAATAAGGAATAGAGATTAAATCTGTTTGAATTAAGAGTGAGAGATTTTTTTCCCCTACCACAATAAATAAAACTAACAAAATATTTGTCCTCTCCCACACCACTACGATCTTTTTAAACCCTAATTTGGTGTCTGCTGTATCACACTCAATTGTCAACAATCTTATTATCTACATAATAATGCAGATAAAGAATTAGCCTATACTTGATAAAATAGTAAATCAAATTTAAAAATAAAAAGTACACAAGAAAAGAGAGCGACTCACATCCCAAGAGCATCGAACAGAGACGCAAAAGGTAACCTCAAAACTGGACCAACATGTACATTACCCTCAGTATCTGCACGATCAACTGCAAGCAAGGAACATATCTACTCAAGTTATGTGAATATGCCTTCGAAATAAGATTACGTAAAGAGACAAACAAGAAAGCATTTTACATTCAACATCTGTTGCATGTTCTAAGGCCTTGCAGTAAGGGTTGTCAGAAAAATGTGTACTCCCTTTCAAAAGGGAATCTGAAGCAGTTGTATCATTACTTTTATCTGTAATTGGTTCAATGCCCTCAACGCATTTACGATAATGAATGAGAATAAGTAGCACGTGGAGACTGCAGTCTGCCAACAGACTTCTTGAGCCTTCACCACTAGAACTGACAAGAAAGTTGAATGGCAATAACATGAAATTTGCTGCAAATCAAAAAATTGACGTCAACAGAAAGAAATTTAAGATTCAACATTTCCCAACCGGTAAACAATCTTTATATAAGTAAACAGTAAGTTTTAATAATGCATCAGGGATACCGCCATACCAGCTGCAGAACCAACTCTTTGTAAAACACCAGGCTGACTTCCTTCAGAATATACAGAATAAGATGCACTATTTAGGGATATGGAAGGTCCTGAAATGTAACTGAGGAGCAGTCTACGGACAACCACGAGAACCAAAGAACTTTCCTGAGCATTGAAGAAGTGGTGTAAGATAATTGAAACAACAGGAAATTTGGATGAAACATAACGCAAGAGTTTCATCAAGTAACCTGAGACATTGCTGCATCGATGAATGGGTTCACATCTTCCGGTCCTGGAGATGGCCCGGAAAGAAGCTGAGTTGACATCACAACCAGCATGAAGTTAAGCAGCTCCAAATGAAGGAGGTATGTATCAGGACTTGTGACAAAGATGATATATAATCAGAAAAAAATACAACATAATCTCAATCATAAGGAACAAGTGGGTGCTTGAAGATGTACCTTACATCTATTGACCCAATAAAGCTAAGCACACTATGCATAACAAATTCCTGAGTGTTTAAATCTGCAAAATTGATATACAAAAATAACTATAGATTTATGTTGTGGTCAAATATATCTTATTTTAAAATCAAATGAAGCGTAACCCAGGTAATAAAGATAACTAAACAAAAAAAAAAAAAAAAGTAACATAAACATCATTTAACTTGGAAAGATGGTAGAGTAGAAAAGATAACCAAACCAAATAAAAGATGAAACATAAACTTAATTGGACCAGGAAAGAAGGTAGAGAAGGAAGGCAAAAACTTCTTCAAAAGCTCATTGAAATCCTCCACAATCCAGCTTCTCTAACCACCACCACCACCACCTGCGCTCACCTCTCTTCTCTCTCTGAAGGAAGGCAAAAACTACTTCAAAAACCTCTCTCTCTCTCTCTCTCTCTCTCTCTTAATTGGACTCGGAAAGACAGTAGAGAAGGAAGGAAAAAACTTCTTCAAAAGCTCATTGAAATCCTCCACAATCCAGCTTCTCTAACCACCACCACCACCCACGCTTGCCTCTCTTCTCTCTCTGAAGGAAGGCAAAAACTTCTCTCTCCTAAACCCTCTCTCTCTCTCTCTCTCTCTCTCTCTCTCTCTAGGTTCTAGTTGATTCGCAAGACCATAGGCTATCATCAGAATAGGAACGAGAGTAAAACAACCCTTTCACCTACCAAGTCTCGTGACACAACAAATTAATTTATGATGCAATTTAAGCTGAACATTCTGATTTCGTGAAGATTTCATAAGAAAATCATAAAAAGGGCCTTGATAGAAACTCATTCTTGGATTGATATTAATTATAGCCAACAGAATACCAAGTGAAGTACCTTTTGTAATATCAGTTGGCATTGGTTCACTTTCTTCAAGGGATAAATGCAACTCTTCAATCTTCTCATCCTTCGCATTTTCAATGAAGTACTTTAGAAAGACGGATGAGATGTACACTGCATTTACAGCCTTCATATAAACAATAGAAGGCGCACCAGAAGAGGTTGAAATCGATTCTTGCAAACACCGTGCCATGTGGATCAAAATCTTTGCAAGATGCCTGGTACGATAGTTGTTTTGTGCTGCAAATGAGGGAAAATGAGATATGGAAACGTAGAAAAATTATAATGTATATATGAAATATTTAACATTAAAACAAAGAGCCGAGATAAGCACATGCATATAAGCTAACAGATGGTCAACTGGAAATGCGTTTAAAATGGATTCTCATGCACATTTCTAGAACTTACAGGAATTATGGGTGCATGTTTGGTACGAACAGAGTCATCAATCTCAAGATTCAAGAAGCCATGACCAAATAATATCAAAACTTTACATAACCCTTTTGGAAAAGAGGGAAGCACAGCAACAAAATCATTCAATACCTAGCAGCAAATCACAATTTTTAAGATTTTGTGGAAACCTTAAACGGTCACGGCTGAGGTCGTGTGATATATTTGCAAATTTGCAATTATTGACAGGATTTGAATTCTACAAAATCTCGTGTTCCCACAAATGGGTTATGGGTTTGGATTCACTAGAGTTCATTCTTTGGGCTGGGTTATTTAGAAAATACTTGAGAAAGTCATCTGAAAAAGTGTCTAAGTCACTGCTCAACTTATTAACCTACATCTAATATTTCAACAAGCTTAGCCCATAACTGTTTTAAGTTCCATGTACATATTTAACTTTCAAAATGATCTAATTTGATGACATAGGTGCTTTGACATTCTGACGAGAAAACATTCAGGTAGTGAGCAGCATTGTGGCTGATCTAAAATAAATACTAATAATTTAATCTACCCCAATATTTCTATATACACTCGTGCAGAAGTTTGGGCAATTCTCTACTTCACTTACTAATGGATAGAAGGAGTGATTGGTTGTATTGCTAAATGCAATTGAACTGTGGCTAGATATTCCTTTGCTCAAAACTTTATAGCCCTTATCAGTATCTACTATGGAATAGTGAAACAGATAGAAAGATTAAATGACTTGAAAATCAGGCTCCCAGAAAGAAAAAGAAAATAAATAAAATGAACAATACCTTGTTTTTTACAACAGTCCTCCAGAATTCAATATATCAAAAGACCATTGGTGATGGAGGAGCATTCAATAAATTAGATTTTTTTCTACTTTCTTATGTGTGAGGCACATTAACCTTGGAGTGATTCCAAGTTACCTTCGGTGTGATGCCAGATTTTTTTTTAATTCTCTATTGGAGGGATCCCAATACACCTTCGATGTGATGCCAAAGGCGAAAGTGACTCAAGTGAGTCCGGATCTTCTTCTATATTCCTATCTATTTCTACTGTCCTACATCAATTGGGCTGCTCCCAGTAACCCACAGATAGTGTTTTCAACAGTCTAAGGACCAGTTGAACAGAAAGCCTCTTGGAGAAAGATCCTATGGCCTTGGTGTAACACAAGCTCAGAATAAAGCAGTTAGGTAAGTGTAGGGAGTCTTTAAAGGCCGAATCTCGAATCGAAAGGTATTTGTACACAAACGTATTCATTGTATAAAAAATAAAAATTTCCACACAGCAAACAAGTTTTTCTCCACTGATTTCTGCCCCAAGATAGTTGCTTTTTTAAGTAATTATTGTTCTCTGTATAGTGGATTAAGTAATTCTGGGTCCATTGGAGGACAATTAACTGTCTTTAACAACGGTTTACACTAACAATGAAAATCTGTTAACCTAAGTTGATCCTAATCCTTATTAGAACATTATTAATCAATATCCAAAACTACAAACCGACGTAGTCATGCTTCGATTTCATCAGAAATAATGCCAATGCCGCAGATTACTGAACCCTAATTGCACTTTTGGCGCACAATTGATCAAAGAGAGCATTTTGTTATATAAAAACCACGAGAGAGAGAGAGAGAGATTGACGAACCGAGAGTTTGGCAAGCTTGATGAACGCGGTCAGGCTGCCAGTGTAGATTGAGAGGGAGTTGGAGGAGTTTGTTCCAGAAATCGGAAGATAACGGAAACGACTCGTCGCCGATGAAGGTGCTAATCAGGTACTCCACCGTGTCAAGTGGGCGCGAGGCGGAGCTGGTGCTGCTGCCCCATCGCGGCGTAGAAGGCACGGCTCCCATTACAACAAATGCAGAAGAGTCGTTTCGAATGCGCCGAGTGAAGTAATTGAACCGACAACGACTAAGATCAGAGGGCCGGCGAGAAGATCTCGGAGGTGCAATTGGCGGAGGTCGTCGAAGGGGATGGCATTACAGAGAGGGTTTGGGGTTTGGGGGTTTGGATCTTCAGAGGAGATTGAAATCGATATATGAGGCGTTTGATGCGGTGGAGACGACGAAGGAGGAAAGGGGTGCTTGTAAAGGAAGGTGCTGCTGTGCCTGTGCCGGTGCCTGTCTATGACTTTGGAGCAATTTTCGGTTTTCGAAAAACGACGTCCTAATTTCATTTATTTTCTTTTTTTCAATCCTAATTTCATTTTTCATTGAATTCCCTTTTCTACCCTCCATGATCAAAATTTAATTTACAAATTTTTACGCCCAAAATATTTGTTACCCCGTAGATTATTTTCTTGTCAAAAAATACCATTTACGTTTTAGCCTTATCTTTCCAACATATTTAGTTTTGACATGGCCACGATTTTGTTAAGCAAATATCAACAAAAAAATAGCCAAAAAACTTACGATATCAAACTTTATTATGCAAGGTAAGAAAATTAAAATCTCATGACTAATTTTAAAAAAAAAAAAAAGACTCCTAACTTGAAAATTGTAAAAGAATATTAGCCCAAGAAAAAAATATGCCGTGCATATAGATGACCCACGTAGACGTAGGTATGAATAAGCTTTCATCTTGGTTTTCCTCTGGCATTGATACTATCTCATTATTTCCTTAAAGATAACGAGGACATAAACAAATTGAGACACATATTACTCTCCTTTTACTTAAATCTCTCTAGAAAAGACAAGTTCTCTCAGTTTTTTATTCATAAGAAATTGATTTTTTTTTTCTTTTTGGAGAGGAATTAGTTCGAATTGATCATTCAGTATTGTCTTGTTTTATTTTTCAAATAGACCTTCGCAGAAAATTCGAATAAGTCCGAATTGAGAGACATATTGTCTTGTTTTATTTTTCAAATAGGTTTTTGGAGAAAATTCGAGCAGTCAAAAGTAATGGCACTTTAGTCATTCTACATATATAGCTTGGAAGGAAGACTTTTGACACCAAAATTGCTAATTCCATGTTTGAGGGTTTTAGGCAATATTTTGTTCAAAAACCATGACTTCAATTGGCAGGAAAATTCTCTCTTTACCAAAATTAAAATTTTAAGTCTGTCTCTGTCAATCATCATTCAGCAGTAGTGTACAATTCTCATATAAATTAATAGTTTTGTTTTTTTCTTTGTCAAAATTAATTAATAGTTTTTTTATTAAGATTAAACTTTGATAGGGTGCACAACGTGGCACCAAATAAATGTGCACCATGGGAAACCATGACCTTTGAGTTGGGTGATCCAAGACTAAATCATATTTGACTTAATCAATAATCATTCATACTTTCTTAACTTAAGCTTCATGGGTTTGATGGTAATTGTAACTTAGTTTCTACATGTATCACATTTACGAATTACAATTTTCTACAAGGATTGTATATATAGAGCTAGAGTATACATGCGAATCTCACCTTAAGGGATAACATAATTATTAGGATTTTTATCACAAATAATCTCTGAAATTGATCAGACTCATCATTTTGGTCCCTTACTTTCAAAATCAATCAGTGTCGTTCCTGACATTTACTACCCCACATCAATTGGGTCTTTCCGTTAAGATTTCATCAATTATTCTATTAGTTTGTATGAGGAACCCACAAATCTAATGAAATGGTAACACGTGGATTACACAAAATAAGGGCTTTTATCGCAAATGGTCCCTGACATTAATCCAACTCCTCATTTTGGTCCCTGAGTTTCAAAAATCAATACATTTGGTCCTTAACCTTCACTATCGCACATCAATTTAGTCCTTCCATTAAAATTTCATCGATATTTTTCATTTGTGTTGATGTGGTCCCACTAATCCAATTATATGGCTCTAGATGGATGAACTATAAGAAACTTTTTTTTTTTTTTTACGAGTGAATCAATGGATGAGTATTTTGTGCTGACATTTTTCTCGCATTCCACAACCCCAATTAGAAAATAAAAAAAATCAATCTAAATTGGATAAAATTGAATCCAAATTCAATTCAAACTTGATAGGATTGTAACCAACTAGAGAGAATCAGGAGTAGTTTAGGAAGCCAAGTAGTTTAATGGTGTTATGGTGCCTTCCCTTTGTTTTTTAGCATACCCTGATGAAGACGATGATGACTTTTTTTTCTTTTAGTTTTGGTTTTAATTTCTTATTTTACTTTTAGTTTTAAATCTTAAAAAAAAAGTTTCTTATAGTTAATCCACATGGCGCTATATGATTGGATTAGTGAGGCAAAAAATATTGACGAAACTTTAATGGGAGGATTAAATTGATGTGCGGTATTGAAAGTCAGGGACCAAATTCATTGATTTTTGAAACTTAGGGACTAAAATGAGGAGTTGGATCAATTTTAGGGACCATTTACGATAAAAACCCTTATTTTGTGTAATTCACGTGTCATCATTTCATTGGATTTGTGAGTCCCACATACAAACTAACAGAATGGTCGACAGAATCCTAATGGAATAACCAAATTGATGTGCGGTAGTGAATACTAGGGACGACATTGATTGAATTTGAAAGTGAGGGACCAAAATGATTAGTTTGATCAATTTTAAGGACCATTTATGATAAAAACCCTAATTATTATTGATAAGATTGTTGTAACACATTTAGGTTGTCAAAGATTAGAAGTCTTTGAATGTGTTGATCAAATCGTCACGTGATATCACTAATTCACTTGTTACAATATCATTAGACCACCTAATTGATATTCTATGAACCTAAGACACAAAATTAATGAAGCACAAGTATGATAATTATAGTTTGAGTGCATTTATGACATCAAGGGACAGTCACATTGAAAAATAACTCATTAAAAAAGTGTTTATCAGCTAACTCTAATCGCGAATGTAGACAACACCATAACCATATAAAAGTGTAGCAAAAAACTATTTCACTTGTTAACTAACACTTCAAAGACGGATTCGACATGCCACTAATGGGTCATTTATTGTCAACAACTTAACTAGTAAGTTAGAAGTTTGATCACAAAAGACGTAAGTGTCATTCAATAATATTACATTCTTCAACATAAATGGGGTAATTATATTGATGGGTTGGACTTGTCTTGATGGTTATTGAGGAATGGTTTTATACCAATCATAATAGAGAAGTGTTGGAAAATGTTGATGAAAGGGTAGGGATTGAGAGAGCCAAACCAGTGGGTAGGATGATGACATAGTGGGCAACCTAGGGTTTTCATTGAATGGGATTAAGATCAAGTTGGGGTGTCCGTCGGTGGCTAAGGACGAGCTTTCTAAGTTGATGTCATGATAGGGCCTTGTTTAGGAAGAGTCTAGAAGACTTTGTTATATCATTGATGGACACTGCCGTTGGATTTCATTTGAATTTGAAGCTGCCAACGTCCTCTCACGACCCACCACCAACGAAAACGAAATCTCAACCCTAAACAAATAAACAAAAGAAAAAGTTGGCTAATTTGCTTAATTAGTATTTTGGATTGTTTTGTTTAGTGCTTTTGGAAAGCGTTTCAATAATATCTTTATTCAAGTTGCTTCTGCTTTTGGTTTTTGATGGATCCATATTATCTTTAAACTTTTTTTCTTTTCAAAATAGTACAAAAATACAAACGAAATCTAAATGTCACAAAATTATTGCAATTTGACACGCGTGAATAAACTTAATTAATTAATTTTTAAAATTTTGATAAGTTGTTCTTGTGTAGTATGTGTGACTATGATTTGCAAGCAAAATATAAATATTTTATATGTAAGACTCCAAAAATTATTATAAAATTCAAATGCACCAAACACTAAAATTGCTTCTTTTTCTTTCTTATTTTCAGTAGTTATATAGCATATGGTATTGCCAAAGTTTTGTTTCATACCCTAACTTTTTCCAGAGACTCTTCACATCAAAGTAGGTGAGAACCACATTTTACAGAAGAATACTGCAAACTCAGCTTATTTTGTTTTTTTTTTTTTTTTCAGGCAACTTACTTTGTAACACTAAAAGAATGTTACAATTAAGAATTATTTAGAGTATGACAATTGAAAAAAATGATGAGTTTAATTTCCAAGTGAAACCTTTGTAAATAAGAGGTCTTAGGTTCGATTCTTGACAAACACGAATTCGAATCAATTATAAGGTTTAATTCACTCTCCCACCCTCTCAGTACTATAGATTATATGCGAATGTATCCAAACTTATCAATGTCGGAGTGTTTTTTTTCTAATTGTTATTTCTTCAGTACAACAGTTTTTCCCTCAAAAGTCTTTCGAAACCCTTATCCGTCAATTCAAAGTAGATATAGCCCAACATCCATTGGAATTTAGTAGATGCATAACAAGACTACAAGTACTGTAAGTGAAAATTCCCCTACTTGTAGAGCTAACAATTTTCAATGCTACTCACCAAATATTAGTTTTGTTTGTTAGGTTGGAAGGTTGACGCAAAAATTGAAAATTCCAAATGGCCAAAAAAGTTGGGGATACTCCAAACTCTGATAGTCTGATTTCAAACTATTTGACTGATTCTTCATAACTAACAGTCTCTAGAAACTAGAACATCCCTCCATACAATCTCAAAGGTTTTTATTTATTTTTGAAAGGATCATGACATTCCCATGTCTGAGATCATCCAAGTTCAAGACCATTCACATGCACAACACTGCCACCCTCTAGGTCTCTGGGATGTGCCCCCCCATTCACATTAAGTGGCATGTATAAAGACTTACGGACCTCCACGGCCTGTTCTGTTTGATCGTCCTCAAATTTCATGTGCTCCGGTGGCATGTATAGAGTCTCTCCGGTGGCAGAGGATGATTAGGGACCGCATTAGAAGACACATAGCTTACTGGGTCTTGATCAAGATTCAGTTTTTGTGTATAATGCAGTCCCTGATCATCCTCTACCTGTATATTTTTGTTTACGTTATATTATATTCAGTTGTCAACTTGTTATGAACATCTTCACTAATATATGAGTGGAAAAATAAGATGGATGAGTGAGAATAACACTGCCTTTTGCTTTCTGATACATAAAATGTCCCGTGTGGAAAAAGGTTTTCGATCGCATGCAAAATAATGGCGTAGAGACCCCAAGTAGGAAATGTGGTAAATTCGTCACTTGTGAATTATGTATCCAAATTCCAAAGGCCATGCAGCAAAGGAAAAGATATGCATGTTGGGCCTTGGGCCTCAAC